TACGATAATTATCGTACACCTGGCAACACTGAGTGTGGGGGACAAGGCTGCAAAAAAGGAAAAACTTAACAAGTCCTGTCCAATTCTTCTGCTAAACAGAAGTAATGGAAGTAAGAAAAAACATTCTAAAAGTTATTGTTTCTTTGCATATTTTGTAGCATTATTTGTGAGTTTGGAACGGTGGGGTGGGTGGGGGGAGGGTACCCTGGCCAGAAGCTAATGCATTGCATGGAAAAGTTTGGGAACCCCTGTGCAGAACCTGCTTTGCCTCTCATCAACATTTTCTTTAGAATGTCTCACAACTGTACGCGTTTCCTCCATCATCCYTGCTTTTAGCAGCTGGATGTTTCGTCATTAATCACTCACTCTGCTTGACGCACGGCGTGACAGCGATGAAGGACATGAGGCCGCAGAGCCCCAGGTTGATCCACAGCAGGACCTTGTTGAAGTGGCAGGCGATGGGGTGGGTGTAGTATTTGTACATGAAGGTGAAGGCCATGGTAGCGATGGTGTAGAAGAAGAGGGTGGCGCACGTCACTGCCAGGTACCAGCGTTTGTTTTCTGCTGCTCCGGTCAACCTGAGTGGGAGGAGGACAGGGGGGTCGTCACTTCAAGCGCTCCGTTTAAAAAGCACACAAAGAGAAACTCTGTAGAAACACTCCAAACTAAAAAASAGAGACCTTGTTTCTGTTGCTGTTTGATGTCAGTAACTCTTGTTGACAGGCTAAATCAGGACTGTGTTCTAACCATGGACACATTGTCGCAGCAACTCAGGAGCAATTCCTCTTCATGGGCATTGCATCCCAAAGAATACCACAAAATGTTATTAAAAATAATGTCTGTGATGGACTTTTAATGTGTCCAGTGTGTACCCTGCCTCTCAGGGACAGGCCACAGCTCCAGGATTCTGCACAGACATGTGGGTAAAGACAAAGGCTGAACAAATGGAATAAATGAAGTGCTGTTGTCTGTTAACAACTTCAGTATCCAACATTTCATAAATAATCTTTTAAGGGTCATTTTAGAGACCTTTTACTATTTATCAATTTTACATTCACAACTACTGCTGTAAAAWTTTTAGAATATTCTTTCTGGAAATACCACTTTTTTATGTTTACAAACAACCTCAGTGTTTTATGCAAATAACTGTTATGTATTTTCTTGAGAAACATTATGARAAATAACATGTCATTATCATGAGAAAACCATGGAAAACAATGATGTGTGAAAAACATTCGTACAATGACGTTCAAACATTTATAAAATCGTATTTGCATAAACTACTATAAATTTTGTAGGATAGGAAGTGTTTTATGATGGCCTTCACTTTGTTCTTTACTTCACGTGGATTAACCATGAGCTCATCCAGTCAAAGCTGAACAATAGTTTTTCAAACTAAGAGCTATCTGCAACAGGTTAAATATTTTAATTTCATAGCCATTTATAACCACACTTAAACATTTCTGAACTATAGCTTTAATATAGTGTTAATTTAGAAATGGCTTTTTAGTCGTAGTTTTACTGTCTGCTGGAGATGAGAGACTGACTGTTTGACACAGCCATAAATCCAAAACAAACAAGACAAGATATTTGTTAAAACAACTCAACATGTACACAGAAAGGACACTGAACAGAATCCATRAATGACTGTCTTAACTAAAAAATGATAAATGCAATAAGTGCTGAAACAAACAAGCAGCTCTTTGCACATCTGTCTGTCTGAGCAGATGTTAAATAGTTCTACAGATCAGATGAATCCATCATCACCAGCGCCACAGAGCAGGTCTCCAGATGTTGATCCAGCTGTAGTAAATACACCTTTATATACTGTAACCACACATCATGGGTATTGTATTTCTAACCCACTTTTTTCTTCCCAGGTTTGGAGGCAGTTTCTCTAAAACATTTTCTACAAAAAAAAAAAAGGCTTCAACGTAACTTTTATTTGGGTTTTGTGCTTCATTCATGTTTTTTAGGGGAGATATTTTACTTTTAACAATGTTGAATTAGAAACAAGATCTGAAAGAGCAAAATGTAATACAATTTATTCTGCTTGGAGGATGRACAATTTGCAGTTTCTAAGTGGTTTATTGCAATTTTACTATTCAGGTTAACATAAACAAACTGTTAATATGACCTCACAACACTATATCACTTCATCTGCCTCCAGCCACAGCCACACATGATAATAGCACAATCTGAGTCTTTCTTTTAGAATAACTTACCATAAAAGTTGACAAATGTTAAGCAAAAATGTCTTTTTTCATTTGGAGGTTTAATGTCAGGTTATGATTTGCAGAACATGTGGGGAACATCTGTTTTAGGAACTTCTCATCTGCTGGTTTTAGTATTTCACCAGATGTTGACCCTGATTTAAGGAAACTGCCCCACTCAGCCACAACATCTGCAAGGTCCAACACTCATGTTGTGTTAAAGTACTTCAGTTTTCAGTCCATCACAGAGGTGCTGGTTGTTCTCAGACTGGAAACAGGTTTTTTCACATTAGTGGGAAATTAAAATACTTTATGAATCTGGTTTTGTGCTTGTTGAAACCTCAAAAACAACGCAAAAAGTGTATGCGATCACACTACTAAACAGTTTGCCCATTTCAGTGGGTTTGTGTAGTAAAATTATGAACAATGAATATCTTACCTGTTGTAGATAGCTTCTTGAGCAGCAGTTTGGGGATATTGTTTAACATTGGCTAAGGGTTAGTTAGAATGCTGTCATAACTAACCTAAAACAGCTTTTGTCTCTGAACTTCATGCTGTAAGTTAACCCTTTACACCCCATTACATTTCACATTACCCTGGTGTTTCAGTAGAAAAAATGAATTCCTACCAGATGAATCCTGGACCCTTCATAATGCTGTGTTGCTGCTGCTATGATGTTGTGATTATGCTTGTAATTGTCTAGAATTCCATGTAAACAATGAAACTGGAAGCTGTTTAAAGGAACTCACATGAAGCAGTAAAACAGCAGTACAACTCAGGTTGTGTTCAGACTTGCCATTGGCTCATTAATCAAATCAAAATGAAACTAACTTCCTTTTCAAAGTGAGGTTGTTCAAGATGTTATTACAACGTTTAAGGTGTTAGTTTGTTTGTTTTTTCACAGAAACTCACTTCAAAATGTCCTTTAAAGGAGACATGTCCTGGTTTAAAATCCTTCCTTTTCATATGTAAATCAGTCAGTAGTKGTATATAYKAGAGGAACTGCAATGCTTTGGTCTSAGTTCCTGGTTATTGTAGCTCCACAAGCCCCTCTYTCACCCCTTCTCTGAGGTGTGTCTCACAGCAGCTCAATTTGGWGCTGTCTCTTTAAATGCAAATGCAGCACCTCCTTCAGACATTTTTGTAGTTTGATGGCAGAGATATGATTATGTAGTGGAGCAGAAAGTTTTATTTACAWATTGATTAAAATATGTGAACAGTGAAGACTTAAATCCAGCCTGAYGTGTTGGAGCCAGAGTCTGACCCAGAGCCAGAGAATAAAGACGACCAACCAATGACCTGACAAGATTATTCAGAATACTTAAWAGGGAATAGAAAAAGCTGAATGAATTTAAAAATATGACCCAAACAGATTTCAAAAATATCCGTGCAGCACCACCAAATTAAACATTTCAACCTCCTAGAGAGTGCATAACAAAATGTATTAAATGGCTAAAAACGATGTATTTCGCATGATATGTCTCTTTATTGTAAAAAGCTTTTRTGAAGGCATCGCTGAAGTTTTGTTCACATATTTTACACACTGCTTTTATTATTGTCACACTTCAAAGCACAACTTCTTTTAATGTATTTGACCTTGTGACTCACCAGTTCTTGTTCCAAGTGTGTGCAAAAGCTGTGATGAGGATGAGTTGGATGAGGATGAAGGCGAATCCTCCCACCACACCAACATAATGCCAAGCTGAGAGAACAAAACAAAAACTGTTGTTTATTTTCAGGAAAGGGGACTAAGGTAGGGACTAACAGGAAATGAGAAAAAAGAACAATTGTGATCATAAATCTGACATCAGACTTGTAACACCACCACATTTACTGTTCCCACGCAAAGAGAAACCACACTGTTGACGTTATGTTCTGATGCTGAATCTGCCTGCAGCAGAATGGAGGCAGGAGCAGATCGCTGCTGCCCTCTGTGTGTCCGCAGACTGAAGTGCATCTGTTCAGGTGCTGACAGACAGGAAACTACTCACCATGCAGGAAGGACTCAGTCGGGATGAAGAAGGCAGCAGTGCACATCCCCAGCAGGGTGATCAACTTTAAAAACCAGAAGCTACAGGAGACAAAAAAAAAAACAAACAAAAAAAACAGCTTTTTGTTAGAAAAGAGTCTAGGACTTATTGTAAGTTTTGTTTATTCAACAGGTTTTCAGTTTCAATAATGTTAGAAAAGTTTGTTATTGTTAAAACATTTCAGTCAAACATTAAAAGCTCTTAAAGGATCTKTACAGTTGGTCAGGATTTAACAACAAATGTTACATTCATAATAAATCATCACATATTCTTAYTATAAATTGTACAGATCCTTTAAGAGAACAACTGGTGAAATAACTATTCTATATACTGTGTGTAGATGCATGTAAAAACCATGTAAATATACTTTCACACAGTGTGTTAGAGAACATTTGAACTGACTATTAATCCTGCAGTGCATCAATAATTAAGACAGTAGTAGTTCAGTCTGTTATTAATGCTTTTTTAGATATTTGAAAACTCTCTCTCTCTCTCTCTCTCTCTCTCTCTCTCTCTCTCTCTCTCTCTCTCTCTCTCT